AAAGAGTGAGATGCTGGAGTCAGGAGCCATACTCATAAGTGAATTAGTTCAGTTCAGTGACATGTAATGCAGATCTTCCAGGAGCGTCACTCTTGTGAACTGTCTCCCACCCCTGGAGGACAACTTTTTGGATAAGTTCCAGGACATAAAGGGGAAATAGTTTGCTTTTATAGCAGATCGTTTTTGCTTCAGATCTGTCTAGCAGCAGAAATTGAAAACTGGTCATTAAAATAAATACCCTTCTGTTCACGGAGTGAAAATGAATCAACAGAGGAAAAACATTAATTCGCAATTCAAACCACTTGTTTAAAATAGTCTTCCAAAATACACTATAATTTCTAGAGCTAGGTCTTTTTCTTCCCCCTTGCTCTTGTATTCTGTCTATTTCCAGCATTCTCTTTAAAAGTTTCCAGGAGGCAAGAGATATAAGAAAATTATGCGACTTAGAGAATAAACGACAACTTTGCTTAACCTTTCTAAAACTCCTGCTTTTAATACATTCTTTTTTAAATGCTGACGTAAAGAACAGCTATTTAGGATAGTATAAAATGAACTGAAACTTCGTTGGAGAATGTGATATCTTTCTTTTTAAATGCATGTTTCCAGTGATTTTAAACAAAATTTTTGTACACCTATCCACAGTGCTTATCTAGAATTAGTTGATTGTAGTTCCCTTTATTCTCATATCATCTGTATAATAAATAGGATATAATATCATTTCTGCAAAGTGGAACCTATTTCCCATTTCATTGATTTATTCCTGTTCCATTATTCATTATTCCTTAGCAGGCTTGGGATTCCCAATACCAAAGCAATACTCAATGAAGTGAGGAATTAACAACAGCCTTTTATTCTCATCTAGAGCTGCTATCAGTTGTATAATAGATGTTAACGCTAGTATAAAATAATATAGAGGTCTAAAACTTTTAAATTTTGCTCCTTTTCTGTCAATGTTTATTTTCAGTTTAGCTCAGTAGAATAATCCATGTGGCAGTTTTAATCTTAACTTTCTAAAATCTCAGGTCTTCAGGTAAGGTTTTCTAATCAACAATCTATCTTTTTTTAAACATGCTTTCACACACAGATCATAATCCTAAAAATCAATTGGAAATATTCATCTGTCCTAGCTTTCAATATAGGGAAATACTTAAATGGTTGTTTAAGTATTACGTTCTTAACTAGGATATGAACTCATGTGTGAGAAAGCACTCCATCTCTTGAAATAACGTTCCAATATCACTATTTGGTGATCTTGAGGAAAAGCTAGAATGAAAAAAAAAAAAATTGAGACTGGAATTTAGGGGTCAGTTAGCCCAATTTTATTTTATGAAGGAAGACACAGAGAACCACGATAGGCAAGGGGTATGTATAAGTTCATGCAGCACATGATTGGTGGCATTGGGATTTGAATCTGGTTCCCTTTTCCAAATTTTATCATTGCATATGGTTAAAGCTATCTCTTTATCACTCTGGAAGCCTCACCCATTTCCCTCTGGGGTAAAACTTCTGTTTTGCCTTCTGGCTTTCCTTCAGTCTTAAAGATATGCCATGATTTAGAGAAGCAAGTAGTATTTTCTGCCTTTATTGTAATACTTCTGTTTTTATCTCAAATCTGAATTAATATGCTGAAGATCTTGATTTCAGCTTCCCAGTACTCATAATGATAATTTCCATTGTTTAATTCCTGAGAACAGTGCTTACAAATTTGAAACATGGTATATATTCTGGAATTCTTTTTCCATGGATAAAGAATATTGTCATTTGTCAATTATATGTCTAAGCGAACTATAAAACATGAAAATATACTAGAAGCATATTTGCCTTTTAGAGGCAAATTGAGGAGAAGTACAATATTTCTTGAGTTCTACTATATGTAAGACATCCTGTTAAACAGGTAAATGTACCATCACATTCAATAGAGGCGTATACTTTCTAAATGTTATAACTGAATAAAAGTAAATTGAGTATATTATTAGTTTATTTTTATTAGCAATCATATTGATCTTGATGGCTGTAGAACAAAACATTTAGATCCAAATACCTCTACTTAATGCACTTTAATATAGATAGGAATTTTATGCATTTTTACTCAAATAGGTAGTCTGCTTCAAATCCCACTGTCTTTATCTGCACACATTCTTTACCACCCAAGACACTCATTTTGAACTAGAAGACTTCTTGTTTAACTAAATTCTTAACGAAATGTAAAGAGAACCTTCTTAAATTATAATCAAACTCATGTGACGATTTAAAAAACAGGTTTCTATAGAGCTTATCCATTGAATAACATTCAGTGGAAATATGGAAAACTATGAAACTTGGATTGTATCCTGGTTTCGTATGACTGATCAATTTTTTCAGTAGCAGAATACTACTTGAAACTAATGCGGTTGGCTATCTTTTAAAGTCTGGAAAATTGAAATCTGAACATCTCCTAAATGCATTTACTTACTTTCAGGCGGTTCCGCAGACAAGATGTTCGGCATGGAAATGCAGCTCAGCAGTGCTTTGGACAGCAGTTTGTCGGTAATCCATAGAAAATCGATTGCCATGGGTTTCTTAGAGTGTGCGTTGAAGATAAACTGCCAGCTTCTTAAACAGCGTCCTTGTTTTCTTTGTGACTGACACACACTAGAACAATGTTCCTGAAAGTATTCTGTTTTTCCATATAGTTAAGATTTTGTGCATTTGATATATAATCTTTCCTAATTAGGAAAATGTTTTACCTACCCACCAAGCTTTATTGTTAGAATTCAAATATGGGACTCCTAGAACAAAAATGCTGCATACGTTAGGTGGCAGTTGCCACAGTGATTTGCAGGATTTATTTCACCAGTTCAACCCTGGGAATATCTTCACCGTGTTTTTATAATCTACAGTAATTTTATCAAGAGTGATCTAACTTGAATCAAGTCACCTACTAAGCTTTGCATAGAATAAAGTGAAAAACTTCGACTCTTTCACTGGGTTTCTGATGAAAGGTGGTAGGTGGTCCAGTGTGTAAAGGAAGAGAGAAAATTTCAGCTGTAGACAAATGTAAAGAAGTCAGACAAGACGGAAAACCACCATCCTGACTCTTTACACCATCATGGTGGTTGGTGAACAGGCTGCGCTCACCAGGAAGCAACAGGGGGAAGGGGCACCATGATTGGGAGACCAGAGATATTTATACACAGATTCAGAGATTGTGGTCCGGGATCAATTTGCTAGACCCCAGGCTGATTCAGGATTTGATGCAAGATGTAAGCCTCTGAGAATATTAGCTAGAGAAAAATATTAGCTAGAGCATTATAGTTTTAGGGAAATTTAGGGGTCAGTTTTGAATGCAAGGAGGACTCAGACATAGAAAAAAAAATCCCGGGATCTAGTACTGAATTTGATCTTGGTTAAAACAACAAAGAATAAATCCACTTGCTTTTATTCCAAACTGCAGTTAGGTATACTTGCCTCTATGCCCATTAGAGTTCAAGTTCAGTGAGATCCTTTCTGGCCCAAAATACAGATTATAATCAAGAAGCTCTGGTTCACAAAGTCCTTAGTTCAGTTTCGTACTCTTTTCTTCCTTCAGGAGCCCCGTATCTGGATAAGTGCAGTCCATTGTCAAGATAACGCTCACACTTCTGTTTATGTAGTGCCATATCTCCTTGATTTCTGCTTTCTGCTTTTGGTTGTAATCATGAATTTTAGTTCTATGCCTTGCTTAATTGTTTGGTGCCCACCTTCTCTTGCCCGCTTTATCAGTGGATGTTGCCACTGATTTTCCATGAATTTAACACTGATGCACCTTCTTACTGATCTGACTGTTAACGTCCTTTGGAACCAAACTCCCAGTTACTTCTTTCTGTCTCACTCCAAAGCCTGCTGTGCCTTTTTAATGCCTAGATTTTGGTATGCTACTCCCCTAAATAACTCCTGTAGAGAAATTAACAATGAGTAATAAAAGTTATTCACTTTGCTATAGGGGTCTGAATAAAGATTCTTTTAAAAAATATTGTGTACCAGTAAAATCAAAGTCTCAAGGCTGATGTTAACATTTATGTTATAGGGGATGTTTTGGATAAGACTGAGGAGCGATTGGCCTATGGCATAGAGAACAACAGTACTTTGCTGGAATGTACCCCGCGATCTTTACAAGCAAAAGTTATCTGGTTTGTGCAGAAAGGACACGACACAAGAAAAGAGGAGGTAATTCATAGCTGCACATTCACACCGTGGTGTCTTGCATACAGTGTGCCATCAGTAAATAGATGATGCTTTATTTGGGTACTTAAAAATTAAATAATCTATTGTGCTGTACCTGTCATTTTAAAAGTGGGTTTTTTTTTATTATGTGTTATTTATATACATATAAATATATATGTGTATATGTATAGGTATATGTATATATAAATGTTTTTAAATACATATACATGTAGATTTTTATATGCATCTATATTTATAGACATATATAAATAAATTATGTATGTATGTATAAGTAAAATTTGGAACCTAGAATTAGATTTTAAGTTAGGAGCTTTTTTCAGCTTCATGATTTTAGTGTCATGTTGTAAAATTATAGTCTCAAGTTGTATCACCCAAGACAATGTTTTAGAAAAATAGGGAAATTAAACAGCATTATCACATATATCTTAGACACATGGATAATAGAATTGAAACAACAGTAGCAGCGACATTAAACCACTTGTTGATAAAGCTATTAAATCATATGTGAGACATCAACTCAGGGGTTCCACTGTTGTCCAAAAAACAGGCATCAGCTCTTTTATCCTTCTAAGCAGGTTTAGTGGTGGAGATTATATTTCTATAATTATCTAACTAATGAGAGAGGAACGAGTTGGGCTGCTTTTACTGATGGAAGACTAGGCAGCATTTAAAGCACACATACAGAGTAGTCTGGTGGCAAACACTGTATAGGTGCATGCAGGTCTAGAGAGCTGGTTTTATGTAGGGAGGGGTCAAGGGTGTGAAGCAGATAAAGCTTAGGGAAGGCAGATAAAGCATTGTTGATGTGGGCGTTGAACTTAATTTTTACAAAAATGGAATTAGAAAAACAGAAGAAAATTTGGTTATATTAAAGGGTGATAGACTTGGTGAATACTGGGGAAATGGTCCTTAGTAAAGAGAGGGTTACCAGTTGAATAAGGGGAAGAAATTCTAGAGGCCTGCCTTCGGACACAGAGGACAGCTAATAGGTACTCATAAGATAGTGAGTCAGGAAAGTCTGTACCTCATTTTGCCGCTGGAGACGAAACCTTTGTCATTGGAAGTTTAAATGACTGATTCTACATGTAGGGCACAATTACATTTTATGCCTTTTTTTCCCCTAGCCTGTTGTGAAACTAAAAATCCAACATGTTTTTGGTCGAGAATCACAAAGTATGTTCTGGGAGATGACTAAATTTCTATATCCCAGGTTCCTGGGATAGCTATTAGAGAGGAAGATGATACCTCAACTTAACAAAGGCTATTAGAGATAATATAGAAAGGCAATCAGGAGAGGAAAATTCTCCTAAATTTTCATGACATCATAACAATAAATACGTGTCCAAAAAAGTTACAGTACATTGCACTGAAATAAATTACTGATTTAGTACTGAAGTATTTTCCATTGCACAAATCTGAGATAAAACTGGTTTTTAAATTCCACTGTAACTGACTTGGCAGGAGAGGACCTGGGAATATTCTATAGTTCTTCCAGTTGAATGGCTTCAGAAGACAGAGAAGTAATTCTTTCATCAGTAGTTTTCTTCACTCAATATGTTCTGTTTCTGATTTGGAACTTAGTGTAATCTGCCTCATTTGGAAAACTTTACCAGATCATTTTGACATGCTGCATCCAGTAGTGTTCAATTTTAAGTTTCTTTATCATATTAATATAATCTACTTCTTTTCCCCCAAATTTTAGTCCCTATTTTCAACTACATTCAAATTTCCCTGATATATTTACTGGTACTAGAAATTTTGAGTTTACTCTATGCATGACAAGTTGTATCATAATCAGGTAGTGCCTGATTTCTGTAGACATAACAATATATATTGAGTTATTCACAATCTAAAACAAAACAAAACACACAGTTGCTGACTTCATCAAAAGCTAAATGTGCTTGCTGTGTACACAGAGCAAAATGACTTTACGTGTGTATTCTTTCAGAGTTTTTTAGAGTCTGTTTAGAGTTTTTTTAGCATTTAGAGTTTGGACCATTTTTGCTTTTATTATAGTTACTATAAGAAATACAAGATAATTTTATTATCAAATCTTGACCATTGCACAGGATGTTTAAGTTCAACTAGTCCAATTCTTTTTTTTTTTTCCTGCGGTACGCAGGCCTCTCACTGTTGTGGCCTCTGCCATTGCGGAGCACAGGCTCCAAACGCGCAGGCTCAGCGGCCATGGCTCACGGGCCTAGCCGCTTCACGGCATGTGGGATCTTCCCGGACCAGGGCACGAACCCGTGTCCCCTGCATCGGCAGGCGGACTCTCAACCACTGTGCCACCAGGGAAGCCCTAACTAGTCCAGTTCTTAACTCACGTGGGTATGCTTTTTTAGAGTATCCCTGACAGTGGCCGTCAAGGCTCATCCTGGACGCTACAAGCCACGGTCAGACCATAGCCTTTCTGAAAAATTTTGATTGTCGTATCCTTTTATCGAACTGCTATTGTTGAGTCTGGAATCCACTTACCGATCCACCCTCAACTCTCCTGAGCTGTCCAGAAATCATGTATTCAGGTGGATGATGTTTTTGCCCCAAGTAATATGTAGAAATGCTCCATAACCAAATTTCTAGAAAGCTTTTAGCAATTCAGTTATCCGGTTTCTAAACTGGATCACTGCAATTCTCTCGAATATGCACTTTATAGTTTCTTGCTTCCTTAAATAACACATATGAAATGTAACATGTTATAAATTCCAGAAATGTTTATGGAAAGCCTAATTTATAAGTAATTTATAAGTACTTCATAAGGGAGCATTTTCCCTTGGCTTGACGACCTGGTTAATTGTGGTGTGCATTGTGATTATGACATCCTGGGGAGAAGCCTTCATAGAAGGGACTTGGGAGATGAGGCTGTTCTTTAATGTGCATCTACTGTATACACGAACTGGGGTAGGCGCCTTACCTTCTCATTCTCGGATCTCACAGCTGCACCTTAGGCATAAGAATCCTCATCTTACAAATGCAGAAACTAAAACTCAAAGAGGTAGAGCTCATAAAGTCAGTTACAGACCCAAGGTTTGAACTCACGTATTCCTGCCTCCCAAGCTGAGCTGCTTCACATTGATTCATCAGCCAAGTAACTAGGAATTTGCTATCTGCGTTTTATAAAATGTACCATTTTATTCTTAAAAATGTATTTATAGATGAGATCATTGAGACACAGAATGTTTAATCACTTTCCTGGTTACTCATAGCTAGTGAGGCAGATTCAAATCCAGGTCTCTTAGTTCTTTCTACTAAATCACACCATCTTCTGAAATCAGAATTCTAAATACAGTCTCACATGCTCTGGGACAAGCATGGGGCAAATGGAAAACTGTTCACTGCAGAAGTTCTGTAATTTGATTTCTGAAAAATGCTCCTGTTGTCAGATATATATGTGTGTGTGTGTATATATATGTACATATATATGTATATATATATCTATATTTTTTCCATCAGAGTTTAGTGGAGCATGCTGCTTCAGCTTTGTTGACACTCTACCTCATTTTCTTGGGTTTTAACTAAAATAACGCTTTATTCATTTATTTGAAACTTATTTAGTGAGCATCTATTATGTCCTGCTTTCGTAAAACTTGTACTCTGGAGAACAGAGAAAGATAGCAACAATAATAATATGACTAAGTAAGAACATTATTTAAAGTATCAGATGATGGTAAGGAGAAAAATACAAGAGAGATTACTTGCAGGGAAAGGTTGCAATATTAAACGGGTGGTCATGGAAGGCCTTACTAAGAAGTTCACCAACAAAGAGACATTTGCTAATGACTTGACAGAGGTGAGGTAATAGGCCATGTAACAGTGTTGGATAATGGCTTTCTGGACAGTGAGAACAGCAGGTGCAAAGGCCCTGTTTCATCGGGAGGGCCCCTGTATATTAGAAGAACCTCAGAGTGGAGGGCAACGTGGCTGGAGGAGACAGAGCAATAGGGAAACTAATAAACTCAGTCAAAAAGTGAGATAAAGGGCCAGCTCATGCAGGGATTTGTAGGCCCTTATAAAGGGCTTTAGTTTTTGCTCGGAATTAAATAGAAAGCCATTGAGTAGTTTACAGGAGAGCTATGACATGATCAAAATTCGGTTTTAAAAAGATGACTTTGGTTATTGTATTAAGACTGTAGCATGTGGGTGTGGAGGTAAAGGTGGAAGCAGGGATGATAGGGACATACATCATTATGTTCAATGGCACAACATTAACTGTCCGTGTGCCCTTCACCTACGAAGTCAAAGGATGGGCAAGTGGCCGCCTCATACACGTAAGAGCAAGCGCTTCACATATATTCTTCAGTATTATTGAAAATTGTGAAGGCTATTTAATATATTTAATATCTCAGATGGAAAAGCATTTTCAACCTTCTGTTTTCCTCCCCAAGTGTCTAAAATTAGTGTTTTGAATTCAATAAATATTCATTCAGAGCCTCCCTTAATAGGTGATGAACAAATCATAGCCTTAGCCTTGTCGAAGCCTATAGGCTTGCAGTGAATACAGTAATGTGAGCAGATAGTTATAATATATTGTGTTCATTACAACGTAGTGTGAAACCATGGGAAAAGAAAACTGTCTCAACCGACAGGTCAGGTGTGGACGTGGCACTATGGACACTTAGGAAAAGATCCAAGGCAGAGGTGACATTTGAGCTGTGTTTTAATGGATAAATAGAAGCCAACTAGCAGAAAGAGTGGTGTAATCACATGTGCTGGACATGACAAACAATACGGTCAGTGTAGCTCTGTGGAGGACATGAAGATGCAAAAATGAGTAGATCCACCAAGGAACCATTTCACTCTATCTATAAGCCAATGAGAATGCCTTAGGCACACTGTTTAGACACATTACTCTAGAAACTGGCTTACCAGCTTGGAGGATAAGCAAGATGACAAGGAGACCATTTAAGAAGGTATTTCAATGGTCAAATGAAAGAGTTTTGATCAAACTAAACAGTGGTAGTAGGAAGGGAGAAGACAGATTT